TTTTTTTTTTTTTTTTTTTTTTTTTTTGTGATGTTAGGTTTTCTAAAATTGCAGTAGGCAAACTTGCAAGACAATTTGTCAACTTTAATACTTTATATGACAAACTTAAATAAAAAGCATAATTTTTTGTCTAAAAAAAATTATGCACATACGGTTTAACCGAATTCCTCACCATCACCGATGACTTGGTCGTCCCACTGCAGCACTGGACACACGTAGGTCCCGCTCCCAATAAGCATCATCTCCCGCGCCTTCCTCCCTTCCTCCACCGCCACATCAGCCACCCGGACGTCCTTTATCATCCCTTCCCCCACCAAGCCTTGCGCCAGCGCCAACACTCTCTTGGCCGTGCATCCGCTGAGGATGCGGTCGAACCTCGGCATTAGCAGCTCCCGGGCCTCTGTCACAAAGGCCACGTTCATGTTGGGTCCCTCGGCTACATAACCCCTTTCATCCAACCAAATCCCGGCATATGCTCCACACTCCTCTGCCTCCATCTTTGTAAGCACGTTGGGGAGGTAGTTCACACTCTTCATCACTGCAAACTGCGGGGACTTTATGGGGATTGAGGATGTGATCACCTTAATGCCCCTGTTGCTGTGGGTGGGCCCAGACATCACGATGGCGTAGAGGGCGGGGCAGTGGCAGCCGGACGGGGACAGAAGGAAGTCGCCGGGACCCGCCGAGAGCCAGTACCTCAACGAGCCCTCCCGACACTTGGAGGCGCTCATTGTTTTTAAGAGGATTTTCCGAATGGTTTCTTCGTCAAAGGGGGGAATTATCCTGGCCATTGATGCCGACCTCACGAAACGGTCCATGTGTTGATCCAGTTCGTAAACATATCTGGGGACGGAAGTAAATGTCTTCTAAAAAAGAGGAACAAATTAATGAAAACTCAGCTCCAGTAGTTAGTTTCGTTTGCTACAATCACTGTTGACCGAGCTCTATTTGAGATGAGTCTACAAGTCTGACTGACTTAATGAGAAAATAACAAATAAAGTATGTGTGAATCTTATTCGGCTTGGGTAAAGCTCGATTCACCTCAAAATAAAGAAACAAAGTTCAAACATAGTTTTTGAAGCTCGGTCACGTTTCAAACAAGAATTTAGAAAATATTTAGTTTAGCTCAACTCGAATTGGTCAAGTCCCTTGATATATTAACAACAAACGAATTCAATTCATTGAACATGCAGACATACACAAGACAAAAGCTAGATGAACATAGAATTACTTGCAAACACTGAAGAAAATTGAGATGAGAGAAAATGCATGCAGAATTATACAAATATGTTTTATGACAACTTCAGCATATTAATTAGTTTCCCAAAATGCTCTGTTCTACAAAATATATTATTATGAAGACGTGCCTTGCGTTTTGAGTCATCTCTATCAAAGTAGAACCAAATACATATATACTTGAAAAAAAAAAAAAAAAAAAGATCAACCGAAGAGCTTTTCGTTCTACAGTAACAAATACTTTGTACCGACATCAATGTCAGAAATGCACCGAATTAGAAAAAACAAAAACCACAAAATGATGAGGGTAAGTGTATGCTACTGACCCATCGAAAATGGCTGCAGTATCAAAAACTCCATGCCCTCTGTGGACCATGTGATCGTCCAAAGGGATCACCATAGCTGCTGGATCAGTTGTAATCCCCCCGAAAATACTAGAGTACATAGCCAAATATTGCTGCTTACTCTCATAACTTGCCCGGAACTCTCTTAGTCTCTTGACTGCCTTCGGTCGCAAAAAAGAAAAAAACAATTTTGTCTACACATCGTTAATGCTTCGTTCAGTAGTTACGTCGATTTCATTCATCGTACTCCAATTTTAAAGTCCTTCCTCAGCTATTTTCTCACATTACTTTATAGAAGTTTAAGTGATTAATCAAATCAAAGCATTTAAATCAATTATTCCCTCATAGTCATAGCTACCATCTTCATGAATTACAGAGATGGAATAGTTAAAAAGAAACAAAATAGGAAAAAGAAAAGGCGAAACATAACCTCTGAGCTAGAAATAAGCGGGATGTCAGATGTTGGAGTCGACTCAGTTCCTGAAATAAATAAATGAAAATAAACGAATAACATCACGATCCACGACAAATCAAAAATCTTAATGGTAGATTCCTGAAGAAATCTGGGTTTAAAAACAAAAAAATCATGGAAAAAAAATTACCAGGAGAAATCTGGGTTTGGGAGGAACTCTGGACAGCAGCTGATCGAGCAGAGGAGATTCGGAGTGTCCCAGGAAGTATGAACTGAGGAGACCGATGCCCTAAAAACGACATGTTTTCAGACAGAGATGAGAAATTGACGAGGGTTTTCGATTTCAATGTTGGGGTTTCAGAGATGGGAAGGAGGAGAGTCGCCATCGCAAGAGCGTTGACTGCTGCTATTGATATCAGATATATCCAGCGAACATGGCAGTACAATGTTTTTTTTTTCTTTTTCTTTTTAATTATTAAACCAGTATTGTTTGTGGAGTAGTTTATTTATTTAAAAAAAAAAAATTTAATTGGACAAAAAAAATAATAAGTCGACCAAAATAAAAGAGACGTATTCTCATAATATGTTTTCTTAAAAAAAAATTATCAAGAAAACGTATTCCGATAATACATTTTATAATTATTTTTGTAAATAAAAAAAAAATCCCTATAATTCAAATATTTAAAAAAAAAAGTAAAATGTATTTTTATAAAACGTATTAGGAAAAACGTTTTATTAAAAAAAATAGGGAAATAATATCTAAAATATATTTTTATAAAACGTAGAGTCAAAATACGTTTTTCATAAAACGTATTTTGTAAATACGTTTTAATAAAAGAAAATTCTTCTGAAAAAAAAAAATAATATTTAATTAAAACGTATTTTGAGAATACGATTTACAATTAAATTGTCGGTAAACATATTCTCAGAATACGTTTTTTAAGTTAAATATAAAAAAAAAAAATATATCTTCCTCTCCATTGCATTCACGCAGCAACAGAGAACAGAAACAAAAAGAAAAAAAAAAAGCAACAAGAGCGATTTTTATTCGTGAAAAAAAAAAATCGATCCAATCTTCATCCCGGCGTGAACCGACAACACCGACACGAGCCTCATTTCAAGTTAATTCATTCGCACGAGGTATATTGTCTTATCTTTACTTTTTACATTATTTGAAGTTGTTTGGAGATTGGAAATTGGTATAATATGTTTGAATGTGGTGGTATTTTGATGGAGACGAGGCCGCGATAGCTTTCCTGGATAAATTCGACCGGCTTCGTATCTAGTTGATTTACGTCTTATTTATTATTTATCCTTTTATCTAGTTTTCTAATTATTTAAGTTGTTTTGGTATTTAAATAAATAACTTGACCTAGCTTGTTAGGCAAGTTTAGCAGGCTTAGGAAAGTTGGAACATTATAAAATATGTACCCTACGCTATTATGAGGACAGATTATTATTGAATTCATCAGATTGATAGTTCTTATCGTGTTCTTCCCCTTTCATCTGCTACGCTTCTGCATCAGTTGGTATCAGC